ATAATAATAAAATAATTAATAATAATGATAATGATAATAATAATAGAGGAATTATAATAATGTAACAATAGCAATAAAATGGATAAGTTTACAATAATATAAATATTAATCATAATAATAAGAATAATAGCAAAACAATAGAAAAAAAATAAAATAACACAATCATATAATAGAAAAAAAAACAATAATAATAACAATAAAGAGGAATAATGATTATGAAATTGATGTTGATGACGATAATAATGATTAATGTTAATAATGATAATAATAATAAGATAATAATGATAATATAATAATAATAACAATGATGATGATAATAAAATGATAATAATAGTAATGATAACAATATTTACTTTATAAAATAACAATGATATATATAATGATAATAATAATAATAATAATAATAATAATAATAATAATATTATTATTATTATTATTATTTAATAATATAATAATAATAATAATAATAAATAATAATAACTATAATTAATATAATAATATATGTAATAATTAATAATATAATAATAACAATAATAATAATATATAATAATAATAATAATAATCAATAATACTAATAATAATAATAATAATTATATTAATTTAATAATAATAATATTAATAATAATAACAATAATTAATCATAATAATAATAATAATAATAATAATATATAATATATGATATATAATGATAATAATAATAATAATAATAATAATAATAATAATATATAATAATAATAAAATAATAACAATAATAAATAATAATAATAATAATTAATAATAATATATAATAATAATATTAATAATAATAATAATAGTAATAATAATAAATAATAATAAATAATAATAATAATAATAATATTAATAATAATAATAACATAATCTAATAATAATAATTAATAATAATAATATATATAATAATAATAATAATAATAATAATAATAATAATAATAATAATAATAATAATAATAATCATAACAATATCAATAAAACATAATAACAGAAATGATAAAAAATACAAAAGGCCTGATAATGTAAAATATACAAGAATAAAAATATAGCAATAGTTGTAATCATTAAAAAAACGTAATAACAATGATAAATAAGAATAGTGATA